ATGGAATATAAACTATACTGTTTTTAATTAGTATTTGTCTCGATTCAATCATTTGCTCCATTCCTTATTTTTTAATAACAGATTTCGATTAAAAAATAAGAGACTCCATCGATTCCAAGAAATTTTACAATCCAGTTTACCCATGAGCTAATATTTTTCTGAAAAAACGGGAACTGCAGATATTTCATTCGTGGAACGGAAGGTAGAAAAACATAGAGAGAGCCTTTTCAGACATATACCCGTATTTATATGTAATATCCAGACTGGAGAACGTTTCAGGATGTGTGTACGGACAGGGTGAGAGATGGAGAAGAGTAAACGTGAATGCGGTAGATACGTATGCACGTGTATTTCATAGCCACGCGTGTATGTACATAAAGTGTCAGTAAACTTCATTTGCCGGGATTACCACGTTGAAATTTCGCGGATTCCTCTCGTCATCCTTCCCTCTCATAATCTCCGTGTTCACGTGCTTTTGACATACGTGTACTTAATTTCCCTCCACCCCGTCTACTCTATTTCTCGTTTACTATGCGAAAGAATTAAACACTGATCTATTTAAAGGTAGCACCTATTTATACCTCCAATAAAATTTCCTCTGTTTCTATGAATGAATCGTACAAAAAATGCTTTGAAAGAAAATTAGAAAATTCAATAGCCTTCATGAACGTCTCAATGAAATGACACAGTGAATGGATGTATTAATCTCAGGCTGTAATAATTCCTGGAGCTGTCCTTTCGCAGGACACGTAAAGACAATAAGGCGAATATCTGAGGAATTGAAATCTTGAGAATTGAGAGAGGGAGAGAAACGGAATCCTTGGAATCCAAGGGTTTCGTATCTAGCTAGATTCTGCATCCTGTCTAACAGGCATAGTACTTCTAGCTTCGCGAGTTATGCCGGCTCCCAAGTGCTCGGCCTGGGTACGAGCATGCCACATGACAATCTTAACCCGAATTATCTACATACTATTACGCATACTCTTCACAGTTCTAATCGTATATACTACGAACGTTTCACTATCTGCCTTATTTTTATTCTTCTCTTATCTAAATGTGTCGGTCAGCTGGAATTTTAATATCTACATGGAAATTCTTTCATGGAATTCTTTATGTACGGCTAAGTAACAAAGCATACCGTACCAGTCCGGTATGGTCTAGTGGCTAGGATACCTGGCTTTCACCCAGGAGGCTCGGGTTCGATTCCCGGTACCGGAATTCATTTTTTCTTTCTAATTACAATTTTTTAATAAGAATTTAAAAGACATACTAACAATATCTATTTAATTCTTATTTTTAACTGATTCTAACTTGAAGTGGTAATAGTTTTATAAAATGTCATGCAATATATTCTGATTTATGTTTAGAAAATATCAAATTTACAGACGCACCAACATTCTCTTATATGTGCAATGACAATAATTGATTAATAAAAAATATGTAGTGGTGATGCTTGTGTGGATTATGGATTGGTAATTATTTTAGGTAATAAATGAATATTTACTCGATAGGAAGAGGTCCTGGAGGGCCTGGGCAGCCTGGCATAACAACGCCCATGTTTCGGACGCGGACAACCCTGTTCCACGTAGGGCAAGGATGTCTCCAGCCACCACGGATAATCCAGGATAAGATTCTTTCAAGTTCGTTTGCATTCTGTAACAGAGATCAAAAGGAAGAATTTAATTTAAATTTAAGAAGATATCTAATATGAATTTCTGTCAAGCAGTTTACACACAGAATTGAATAAATTTACGTAATAAAGATTTATTGTAGAAATCATTTGTACGTCATTTACCTTAAACATCATCAACAGGAATGTCATTACGTAATTTGGTGTTTTTCGAATTAATAATTTCATACGACGCGAGATCATTATAATTGGTTATTCTAGTTGCTGGCAAATAATAAGCTAGACAGGATACACCGACGAGAAATAGGAAAAATAAAAATACCAAGTCGAACATTAATAACGAATTGAAAGTCATTAATTGCATTATGGTTCCTCCTTTTCCACCATCACATCCACGATTTCTTTATTATTTAAATACACGTGTTAAACGCGGAGTGTTAATAAATTATTGTCAACCACTAATTGACTCGTTCATCCCTCGGCAAACTGTAATAATTAATCAGTATTTGAATCAATCATTTTTATCATTCGAAAGTAGCGATTGATTAAACATCCTCCCTTTTCGCGTCCGATACAGATTTGGCTCGAAATAAAAGGAGATTTCGATCTTTATTTATCTCGCATTGGGCGGCTTAGGTAGCCGCTATATTTTAGAAGGTATAGGTATAATTGCCAGTGGCAATGGCAATGCTACTGACAGTTGTGATAAGTTAACAAAAGAACCGTTTAAGCGAACAAGACGGTGTAGATATAGATAACTTATGTACTATGTCCCACGATAAAGGAAAGAATTATATCCATATTTATATAGGTTGATACAGAATTATATATAGGAGTGCCAACTAAAAATATTCAACCCATTTCTATAAATTGTTACACAGTATTTTTAATTTAACCATATTTTATTCCAGATTTTTAACTCTATATTTTATTTCTATTCACATGAATAAAATTCGTATTATTATATATTAATTTTATGCATATTTATA